CGTCAGTTTCCCATGTTAACGCCAGGTGGCATTCTCTGTCTCAATTTCCGGTCAGGGGATACTACTCATCTCTTAAACTCTTCTCTAAATTTGTGATTTACCTGCAGGGATAGAGCCTCTTTTTATATATGTAATTTTTTTTTTTTCCTTCTACTTTTCCTTCCTTACCTGTCGATGGAGGGACGAACCGTAGCGGTGGCAGGAAATCCCTCTACGCATTTTCCCACACCTGTCCCCTTGTCTAGGAGTTGTTTGAGAAACACCGTCTCACCGGAAGTGAATTTTTTTCCGTCTTCGTCTTTCTTACAAGGTCACTCAATGTTCTCTTTTCTTAAAGATCCAGACTACTTTTTCTCTGCTATTGTATAACTATGTGAGAGTCGTATCCTCTATTATTGGGCTTACTCCTTACAGCTTGAGACCCACGACCCAACTTTGTTCCACTACCGAATCTTTAAAATTTTAAAAATCTTATATTTGTGTGTGTGTGTATTTATTGTATTCTTTGAGTGTATTTGTTTTTACGATCCCTTCGGTCGACTGCTACCCACTGATCGTTAAGGGGTGCAACACCCTTTCGTCACGTTATCGCTATTCTGTTCCCATGGGGCCATGAAAACCGGACGCTCTCCCATTGGCGTTTTCACAGGATGTCCACGTTTGACACGTACCGCTTCTGAACTTGTCATTGAAGGTCATACAGGTGAGATGGGATATTAATTGGTTTCGTATGAAACGAAATCCACCCCCTCAAAAAAAAAATAAAAGAAAAGAGCGGAAACTTCTTAATAGATCCTGAAAATAAAGTATATGTTTGATTAATTTAAAGAAACCAAACATATTTTAAGTAGCAGGTTTCATCTGTCATCTTCTGGCCTGTGAAATTTCAAGTTTTAATTAATTTGATTGGCATGTTGATGATGATTTCATCATCCGACCGGTTTTAACTCCACATTATTCAAGTAGAATTGTATCGATCTAACAGGAGCCTTCTTTATTTAAATGATAAAAACGTCGTTGCATCTATTTTATATACACTGTACACGTAATTTTATATATATAAAAATAGATTAAAGTATATAAATTTTGCTTTTTTTTTGCAAATTCTTTATAATTTTCCCACAGTCACCTATATTTAAGCTGTTTTATACACTTCTAGTAACTTTAACAATGATTATATAGCCTTATACTTCTCGGAGAAAGTGTAAGTTTTATTTTTATAACAATTCCTAGAATCGAACCTTGTCGCTTATTAATAATAATAAAGTATTTCTTACTCTACATTCTTCGTAAAAATCGACTAAAAAGTAGGCTAAGTGTTATCATAAAACTACTATTTTCTAATAGTTTTATAATAAAGTATGATTCACTGTGTAGTTGTACAGTACATTTTTGCATTTATTCAAACGTATGTGTAACACCGAGACGGTTACCTTACTCTTTCCTTGTCACTGGTAACGTATCATTTACGGACTCGTTTGACAAGTTGCGACTACGTTCCGCATCAGTTATCCCCCTTCAACGATAGGTTATACTTGTTTCATCTTAATAACTGACTGACCAGTTTACTTACCGTAAATATACTTAGAAATATTCCTCTCCTATAACCTTGAAGTCAGTCAGTATATTCTGTGTGTTTGTGTGATTCGAGTCTCATAAATGTGTTTTATATTTAAAATAAATTATTCTATTAACACTTTTCTATGGAGTAATAATAAATTCATACAATTTTATATATAGAAATTACGTATATAAAAGTACAGAAATGTCACACGGTTTTTCCCATTAAAACTTAAAAATAGTAGTAAATTATTTATCATAACCATTGTACATATAGCCTTATATATAAGTGCATTACATTACAGTCGACCCCCCTATAACACTGTTGATAATTCCGTTTTATATGAATTCCATGTTGTACGAGTCCCTTAGATTTTACAAATAAGTGAGCCGTTCACAGCCCGTCATAAGTATTTGTAAAATCTAAGTGACTCGTACAACATGGAATTCATATAAAACGGAATTATCAACAGTGTTATAGGGGAAGCGACTGTATATATATGATGTAGTCTCTATAGTATATTATACACACATATACACACTACTACAGTTTAATATATATATATGTAGGGGGCTACATAGTAGAACACTAATATGAACAGGTTAAAGATTACAGTTGGCAAACATACCAGAGACAATTTACATATCTAATCTAAACATACACAGATCAATATCTCACTGATGAGTTCAATATGTTGAAAATGTATTAAAGATCCACGTTCATACACCAAATAATTACTTGAATTCGGTTGATAAATGGGTCCTTGTGGTTTTGAATAAATAAATAAAAAAAACACTCAGATATTTATATCTTATATGAAACATACACATAGCTGTACACGCCCAAGATATTTACTACATCATTATCATTATTGTAAACATTAACGCTATGTAAACAAGGTTGGTGACTCCGTACACATCAACGAGTCGCCAAATAGTGAAAATAATTATAGATTAAATACCGAGAAAGAATAATAAAATGCATTTTTAACGTATCATTCATTTACAGTACACGTTGAAATTATTAAAACTGTAGGCGAAGATAATGCATTTCTGACAGGTGAGTAACAACAGAAGTTCATTAATGCTGGCTCGTATGTATCAAAGCCAATTCTTAAACACTATAGAAAAGGGGGAGGAGGAAATGTGGGTAATGTAACTCGTCTCATCTGTCACCAGACGTGTCAAAGATGCTATATTTATTTATCTATAACCATTTATAAACCATTTATTTTAATAATGATCGATAGAAGAATGGCTCAGAAATATTTGTTAACGTATCAGGGTAGTTTTCCCAGATCTAGACTTAATAAAAAATACTTTACGACAGTGATAATATACAAAAGAAAAAAGTATGACGCAGTCTACACATGTAACTATCGACCTTGAGTTTCTTTCGGGTGATTAGATCTACCAGATTTTAAAGTATAATCTATTAAACACGTTATATATATATATATAAATATAATTATAATATTTCAGAAAAAAAAAACCACGCAAAGTCCTTAATTAGTTACGTAATCTGTTTCATAATTAGTTCCACTCTCGGTTACGACTTGGAAATCGTTTTGCAATTCCGATTCGTCGTGAGGTCATATAATACTCGCACAGTATTTGTTAATTGTAATTATGGAATTTTATTAATAAAATACTTAGTAATTAGAGAAATAAGTAAGTAAGAAGTGTTCAGGTATATAAAATGTGTTGGTATACGGAATCCCACGTGATTCTGCGGTGCCAATGAGGTTGTAGTGTGGCCCGTATCGACCTTGGAGAGACCGGTCCCCTCTTGGTGGCACCTCCAACGGCGGATACGGATTGGATCACGTGACTGGCCAGATGGCACTAACCCGCCAAGGACGTACATAAACTGTACCGCTGCTCCGATGAAGCGTGGCTTCCATAACGCGTTCGTAAATCGAACACAGAATACTTACTCTTCTTACTCCGGTGACGTAACGTAATTATATAAAATAAATAAAAGAATTGCTGAGAGGTAAATTATGTATTAGAACCTAATAAAATTTATTAAAATCGAATTTATTTCGCGTTTAAATTATGTATAAAAATTATATTTTTAAAAACTAATATTCAAATTTTTTGATAAAAGCGCCACACCGATTTTAATTAAGTTTTCACTTTATTTTTTTATTTTTTTAATTTAAAATTCTTCGACCGAATGGGAGTGGTAAAATTCCTTTAGGAGATTAAAAGAAATTACTTAAATTAATTTATTCAAACTTAAAATGTTTCTAATTTACTTTAAATAAGTTATGATAATTAGAAACACGTTAAGAAAAAAAAAATTTTTTTTTTTTTTGAGGTAAAAAAAAATCCACACTAGAGGGCACTAGCAGATTGAAAGATGAGATCGCCCTCTTCGGCAGTAAATTGAACAATTTTTGTTGCTTCCTCGTAATTATCAAAGATTAATTAAAAGATTTTTTTTTTTTAAATGTTCGTTGTGTATCGAACGGATTTTAAAGTATTTTTACTGTTTACTCAAAGGCCTGTGTATAAAACTCTTGCCAAGTTAAACACAAGAGGGGAGGAAGCTGAAAGACTTCTATAAATCGATCGGCATGACCCTGGTGTCATTTAAAATGAAGATGATGTCTAATAATTGATAGACGTCGTATCTACATGAGCCTTGGCCTAATTGGAACAGATAAATGGACTCTCGGCTTATTTTCCTTTCTTCTAAACCTGTTTCTTTCCTACTTTATCCTCTCGTTCTTTTGTCGAATGAGTTTATCTTTCCTTGTCGATACTATTACAAATACTTCTAGAATATCGAAAGCTACACTTGAATTTTATCTACAATAAGTGGATATGATGAGAGAGAGAAAAGAGCTTTTTAAGTAAAAACAGTGCTTGAAAAATGTTTTTCCGATCCCCTTAACCATTTTCCAGATCAAAATCTTGAAAGGCGTCGGTAGGGAAGTCCAAAGAAAAAAGGGGCGGGTATGCTATTTTCGGAGGGAATTCGCAGCCCCGTGGGGTCGGAGGTCAAACGGACCATGAAGGTCGAGGCAACGCCCACTGCTAGTGGCACCGAAAACCTGTTTACAGAAAATTCGTACACATTCTTTTCAATTCCTGGCGGATCCGCAACAGGATAAACAATCATTTCCCACTTCGTGTTATTCTTGAACATTCAAAATTTCTAGAATATTTATTGACGTAATAATACATTTAAGATCGTTGACGTCACAATTAAAAAAATAATAATAATAATAATGTAAAATATGTTGCGCCGTTTCGAAAGTTATAAAAAAAAAAAAAAAAATCTTAACGTTAGCAGCGCCAATTCTTCATCTACCAGCGTATTAAAGAAGTAGAAAATCAGGCTGGAATTTAATTAATTATACTAAAAGTTATATGTGAAAGTCTATTTTCATATTTTTAAAATGATACGTGCTCCTGTCTACGTTGTGTCCACCACCACCCCCTCGGGTTTGCATTCACGATTCGATGTTTTCTGAGTAATACTAAATTAACTCGGTGGTGATATGAAAAGGGGAGTTGTAAATCTACCTCTCTCTCGGCAACAGATGGCCCGTCCTGCTCTGGGACGATTGATGAAAATAGTAGAGTGGCAGGATAGAAGGGAGGTCCGGTTACTTCAATCCAGAATGTTATAGTCGGCGTTTCTCTCTGTGGGTCCGGTTACTGCTGCTAGTCGTGGAGAAATCGTAAATCTAGTGGCTGATGTGACGTCAGAATGTCCTAGACAAATGGATTAGGTGAGGATCACGGTACGCAGGGTACAACTTATCTGATTTAAAATGAAAGGAGGAACGTAATCCTCGGGGTACACTGATTAAAGAGATGCTCAACTTCACTATTTCACTCCAAGCCCCTGTTCTAAAACTGGGGTTGGCTTTCTTACGTTATAAACTGCATTAAACTAATTAAATTCCGGTCTCGCCCCTAATTTAAATTATTAATTTAATTTAGTTTTTTTTTTTTTCTTTAATCCCTAATTATAAAAACCATTCTTTAATTTTAAAGCATGTTTATTTATGTATATACTTTATTTTTATATATGTATATTATTAATTTATTACAAGCTTCAAAATTAAGCCTGTAAAATTAATGTTAATATAACTATTTTCTATGAGAAAATTGCTGATTAAATCGGTCACCTGCCCTTCTCGCTGCAGTTTATTAATGAGTGAATTTACTTGTAAAGGCAGCTTTTACTCGAGATAAATTTTCTAGGTCAGGCGAGAGCAGGTGAGACACTGCTTCAGTTCCTAACCTAAGGGAGGAGGAGGGGGGAAGAATGAATGACTCCGGACCTAAACTACATAGAAAATTAAAGAAAATAAACCACAAAAAAAAAAAAAATAAAATGCTACGCTTGAGATGTTTCGCATCCGCACTGGAGGCGGCCAAAGACGTGTATGACCTACTTTTAGACATTGCGCTTGCCTCAGTAATTGGCCCCTCAAAGGGGCGCCTCACCTCAAGGCAATATTGTTAGGCGGTGAAGATTAATTATTACAGTCCATTTGAAACTTTCTAAAAAAATTGTATTTAATTATATAAACACGTTCAATTTTTTAAAGGCGTTTATATTATAATATTTCGTACAATTAAATTTATTAATTAAATTAAATAATCGGCTTAACGATTAATTTTCTTAACTTTTTCCTTTGTTAAATTTGATTATTATGAAGAGTTTTTTTTTAAAGTTCTTGTTTCTGTATTTGTTTTTATTTTTTTATATTAATAATAATCTCAACATTAAACATAAATTGAAGGATTTATTTTAAAGTCTATTATGGTGTAACTTTGTGTAAAATACGTTCTCTAATCTTTTAATTTTAATTAAAAGATTTTAATAATTAATCGTTTCAATGTTATAAATCTATTAGATTTATCATTAATTATTCTTACAGAAATTGCAGAAAGCTACTTAAAGTCATCCTTTAGTATTACGAGGCAATTCCCACATCCTCCATCCCTAGCACAAGTAAGTATTCAAGATAACGTCTAGCATCGTAATAATTTCATGAATATTTAATAATTTTCAACGATTCCTTCAGAGAAACCTTAAAAAGTTAGCTTTAGATGGGTCTATTTCATGCAAAAAAATTAAATATTTTATAGAGGGAGGAAATAATTGCTATCAAATTAGAAAAATCGACACTATATTGTCACTTCACGTGACTTTTTGGTGACAGGTTCCGTGACTACTGTTTTAACACGCTTCAAATTGATGCTAAATACTCGCATCTTTATCCCAGGATTTCATCCTCATCCTCATCTTCATCTGATGCTGACGTATTATAACATTTTTAAAAGACGTTGTCGTGATTTTTAATGACGTTTAAAACCTGTTACAGTAATATTGTTAAAGGAGTAGTTAGTTTTTCTTTTAATTACATTTATTTAATATACTTTTTCATATTGTAAATTGATTGGATTCATGCAGGGTATCTCGTTACTACAGTAACATAATGGGACTGTGTTATCCAACAACCGTTCACTGTTTCACGGATACGATATCAAATTCCATTTGAAATTCCCATTAATTTTCTTCACAAATTTTTATTAATTCATCTGAACATCCCGAAAACAGTTAGGACCAAATTAAAAAAGAAAGAAAAAAAAAGGGCACCACCCGCTGTCAGAAAAGGAAGGTGCGCACTGGCTCAAAAGTTAATCATAGTGGCAAAAGTTTCGACTCACTTCACTCGTACAGATTGACAGGCTGCTGGCCCGCTTTACGGTAAGTACTGTAAATGGTCACCATGGTGACGGCACGGAACTGAGTCACGTGGCCTCCCGGAGGGTAACGTGACTCAGACAGTACAAACAAGGGAGTACAATTTTTTGCTACTCTCGAAACACGTGTCGTTGTTAATCTCTGGCCACCAGACGTCGATCTGATTGGCACGTTTCGGTACCTATTTGGTCATCTTGTTCAATATGCCCCAAGGCTCTATATCCCTGGGGGGTTTACGATCGATATGCGTGTATTTATTTTTAAAGCGCAGTAACGCTTGGACGAATCAAAACAATCTTTTTATTATATCGATTTATAATTTGTATACATAGGCCCCCGTCCCCGGAAGGGCCTATGTATTTCACGCTATTCTATGTCATTCGATCATTTACAAAACCTCAATACAGTAGTAGAAAGATGTGGTAAGTGGGAAGCATCCTCCTATACACTCACACACACGCTATAAATACGTGTTTCCACTTACTAAAGCTAGGCCAAGTAATCTCTGGTTTGATCCTGGTTGGCCTATATCTATGTTTTTGATCATTATGAAGGGGCCAATCAATCAAATCTGTCGAAATTCCCACAGTTTGTGCAAAAATTCCATAATCGGAACTAAATAAAACGGATGTTTAGAGGTTCATCAATATATTCTGATCATTCGAAATAAAATCCTAATTTCTTAATCAAATTTATGGAAAATTTCAGCATTTTAAACGTGCAATCGAAGGTATTTAAAGTGAGAATTATCATTCTAAGCATACCAAAATCATTAGAGAAACACGTGACTGGAAAGAAAACATCGCAAGTAGAAAAAGTCCTTTGATCGAAATAAAAACCTCTTAATGGGAAGAAAATCCTGTACGGTCAGAGGATAATCCCTCTGGTATTCGAGGTTTGGAAGAGAAAAACTTACAATCGGAAGACATTGAAAAAATACAAACTTATAGAAACTCCCACTCAAGAAACTCTAACGATCGGGTGCATAAATACGGCATAATAATAATAATAATAATAATAATAATACATAAAATTTGGGATTTTCCTACAGATTTAACATTCCCTTATCAACGAAATCGGGCTAAGAACGTAGTGGAAAGCGTGAATCACACCTGGCAACAATCACGAAATTAACCGCTAAATTCTTAGAGGTCAGCAACGTAACGCGTTGGTGGTTAATAACACGCGCGCGGTGATCTGACCCAAGACGTCCTTTAACCCATCTATTGTCTCCCGAAAAGTCGTTTAATCTCTTAATTCCGGTTACCGACACAAAACGAAAAACGAATTATAATAAGCGCGTGACGTCATACAAACAGGCCACGATATTGGCCAGTGGCCTCGGTTCTTACAAGCAAACTACAGATGCTTTGGCCTAAGTTATTTATATCCTCCTCGTTATATATATACATAAAGTAACAGTCGTTAACCGTTTGCTTCCCTCAATATAGCATTATTTAGCAACGTTCCCAGCGGTTGCGACAATTACGTTCAATACAATTTTAGAACACGAAATCGAAAAAATAAATAAATAAATAAAAGACAGAATTAAACCGTGACGTCAGCCCATTTCATCATTCGGTTCACGACCCGCGAAGTATAACAGACGAACTGGCGCGATGGCGTCGTGGGGCGAGGGAAACGCCCTCCTCGCCTCTCCTTCCTACCTTCAAGGTCAGGGGATCGTAAACACGCTCGAGCGTCACCTAGGTAACCGAGCCTCGATTTCCTGGCAAGCTGCCAGCGGTGTGGTCACGTGGATCACTCGTGCGATGTCGCTTTCTGGGAAATTAGGATGAGGTCAACGGCTCTTCTCTCCAAGAAAATAAACCCGAGTGGAAGGTTTTTTTTTTTTCGGTTGCTTATTAAAGAACACCCCGGGATGACGGCCGGAGGATGTTCGGAAGTGGAGCAAGGTTGGGGATGTCCCAGATTTGTTCCAGATGCTTTTCTTCGTTACTGGGGTGTCGGCGTGTTAACTCGAACGTGTTTGTTTTCTAAACAAAAGTTTTTACCCTCCCTCTCCCCCCTGTAGGATAGATACATTAGGTCATTTGCCTGTTAATTCCATTTAAAAATCTCACCGGGTAAGCCATGTAATTTTCGTTCCTCCCCCCTTCCCGTATATTTCTAAATTTATGTGGCATCTGTAATTGTAACGAAGCTGTTGCCCCCGGATTTAAAGTTCACGCTATCGATACGTGTGACGTGTAAACCCTCGAATAGCACCGAAAGTGTCGTCGATGTCGATGCCTCCACGTGTGTTAATGTACAATAGAAAACACGGGCTAGTATCAGCGCGTGGGAGTTTGTGTGCAAGATTAAAAGCTAATTTTCCTATCGTTAAATGTTGTTCTAGTCCTTAATAAACTTCATTTGTTAATTGCATTGTTTAATTTAGTTCTATATATATATATATATATATTACTGGATGCTTTGAAACTAATAACCACTTCCTTCCTTTTTTTTTTGTTTTCTAAGGATCTTCCAGAAAAAATAGAGGAAGAGAAGAAGAAAAAAGAAGGATCTGGAAGGGCTCCAAATCGAAAGTTTTGCTGATTGGATTTAGGTAGAAGAATTTTGGATCTTTTGGCGTCTGGATTTGATTTCAATTGATTATTTGTTTTTTATTTCATACGCTTTTTTTTATCAATATATATCTTGAACAGTTTTATGAACTGCAATTACTAAAAGAAAATGAGAAATGAATTTAATTCTACCGGAATTTTATGCTAATTTTGCAAATTTTTACTCCAAAAACTCTTCATTCTCTCCTTATTTGCTAACCTTTTCTGCCCTGTTTACAATACTCCTTTTCTCCATAATTTTTGCACTTTATACAGCATTTTTTGTTTTTTTAATTCCTTAACTCTTACAAGTTATTTGCAATTCATTTTTATAAATATTTTCATTAGCAATCTTATTATACACCTATCTTATTTGACTTCTACAACACCTTATACCAAATTTTCAAGTTTTTACTCCTATTTACCATGAATTTTTCGATCCTTCTATCTTTATATAGCTTATATTACATCTTCGCACTTCTTGAACACTTCCAACTTGGTGTTTACTTGGTGCATTTTTATATATATTCTGAACACTTATTTTTCATCTTTTATAATTTTCCTTCCATGGCATCTTGTGCCAATTTTTACTCCTATTTACATTGTTTTTTTTTATCGCTCCTTCCCCTTCTTCACCCTTATTTACAATACTACTTCTTTCTATTATTCTTTCACCTTATTTACAGTATATATTTTTTTAAAGTTTTATTTACAAATTTCCACTTCTTAAACTGTTTTCTTAGTTCACTCACTCACACTTCTGCTCTTTTGTATGGGTGACAATGGATCCTTTTCATCATGGCGAATTTTTTCGTCGCTTCCTTACGTCACAGAGGACTTTTCTTTCGATAGAAGCACGCAATACAAACACTTATCATTCGAAAAAAGTAAGATTTTTATAAATATTCCCCACTTTTAAACGACAATAAAAATAAATAATAAAAAAAAAGGCGCATTATCACACTTCAGGGAAAAATGTACCTTAGGGTATAAATCTATTCTAATATTTTTCTCACCCCCTATTTTTAGTTTGCTATATATGTGTTTTTCTTTTATTATTATTTTCTTGAGCCAACATATTTTGACAGTTTATCATTCTCTTGGACCTCCTTCCCTCTCAGAAGAGAGAAGGAAAAAGAAAAATAAAAAAAACATTGATGGATGTATCTTGCTTACATTAAAGGAACAGTATTTGTGTGTGTGTGTGTGAACATTTGATGTTTTAAAATGATCTTTCCCCTATTCAAAATTCATTCTGGTTAGGTTATTCTCTTCGGAGTAGAAATAAATATCCAAGCAAACTTGGTATATTTTGGGGTATTTGGGGATAAAATATTCGCTATTTTATCACCAAGTACACTAAGAATAAAGTGAGGTACCAACTAAATTCGAATAGAACTATTTTTATATTTATTTTATCGAAATATCAATCGTGTTTTTGGTCTGTTTAAACTCTTTTCTACTGCCAAAACTTGTTCTTTTATTAAATTTCTACGAAGTAATTCACTTACGTATTGAGTCAAATTATAAAGAAACAAACAAAAAAAAAAATCCCATATTAAAGATTGATTTCTATCTTTGTATGTGTGTCTGTTCGTAAGTGAGGAGTAAATCTTGTGTCTATTTCCATTTTTAACTGGAAATTTTTAGTTATATATAACGATAAAACCGTATTTTCTTACATAAATAAACTTAAAAATCATTGCTTGTTAACTTTATCTGTGAATTATAAACATTAACTTAATATATAATTAACTTTTTGGGTAATAAATGCCAGTAATAATTACTTTAAATCTATATTACTTGGTTACTTTAACANTTATATACACTGTACACGTAATTTTATATATATAAAAATAGATTAAAGTATATAAATTTTGCTTTTTTTTTGCAAATTCTTTATAATTTTCCCACAGTCACCTATATTTAAGCTGTTTTATACACTTCTAGTAACTTTAACAATGATTATATAGCCTTATACTTCTCGGAGAAAGTGTAACTTTTATTTTTATAACAATTCCTAGAATCGAACCTTGTCGCTTATTAATAATAATAAAGTATTTCTTACTCTACATTCTTCGTAAAAATCGACTAAAAAGTAGGCTAAGTGTTATCATAAAACTACTATTTTCTAATAGTTTTATAATAAAGTATGATTCACTGTGTAGTTGTACAGTACATTTTTGCATTTATTCAAACGTATGTGTAACACCGAGACGGTTACCTTACTCTTTCCTTGTCACTGGTAACGTATCATTTACGGACTCGTTTGACAAGTTGCGACTACGTTCCGCATCAGTTATCCCCCTTCAACGATAGGTTATACTTGTTTCATCTTAATAACTGACTGACCAGTTTACTTACCGTAAATATACTTAGAAATATTCCTCTCCTATAACCTTGAAGTCAGTCAGTATATTCTGTGTGTTTGTGTGATTCGAGTCTCATAAATGTGTTTTATATTTAAAATAAATTATTCTATTAACACTTTTCTATGGAGTAATAATAAATTCATACAATTTTATATATAGAAATTACGTATATAAAAGTACAGAAATGTCACACGGTTTTTCCCATTAAAACTTAAAAATAGTAGTAAATTATTTATCATAACCATTGTACATATAGCCTTATATATAAGTGCATTACATTACAGTCGACCCCCCTATAACACTGTTGATAATTCCGTTTTATATGAATTCCATGTTGTACGAGTCCCTTAGATTTTACAAATAAGTGAGCCGTTCACAGCCCGTCATAAGTATTTGTAAAATCTAAGTGACTCGTACAACATGGAATTCATATAAAACGGAATTATCAACAGTGTTATAGGGGAAGCGACTGTATATATATGATGTAGTCTCTATAGTATATTATACACACATATACACACTACTACAGTTTAATATATATATATGTAGGGGGCTACATAGTAGAACACTAATATGAACAGGTTAAAGATTACAGTTGGCAAACATACCAGAGACAATTTACATATCTAATCTAAACATACACAGATCAATATCTCACTGATGAGTTCAATATGTTGAAAATGTATTAAAGATCCACGTTCATACACCAAATAATTACTTGAATTCGGTTGATAAATGGGTCCTTGTGGTTTTGAATAAATAAATAAAAAAAACACTCAGATATTTATATCTTATATGAAACATACACATAGCTGTACACGCCCAAGATATTTACTACATCATTATCATTATTGTAAACATTAACGCTATGTAAACAAGGTTGGTGACTCCGTACACATCAACGAGTCGCCAAATAGTGAAAATAATTATAGATTAAATACCGAGAAAGAATAATAAAATGCATTTTTAACGTATCATTCATTTACAGTACACGTTGAAATTATTAAAACTGTAGGCGAAGATAATGCATTTCTGACAGGTGAGTAACAAGAGAAGTTCATTAATGCTGGCTCGTATGTATCAAAGCCAATTCTTAAACACTATAGAAAAGGGGGAGGAGGAAATGTGGGTAATGTAACTCGTCTCATCTGTCACCAGACGTGTCAAAGATGCTATATTTATTTATCTATAACCATTTATAAACCATTTATTTTAATAATGATCGATAGAAGAATGGCTCAGAAATATTTGTTAACGTATCAGGGTAGTTTTCCCAGATCTAGACTTAATAAAAAATACTTTACGACAGTGATAATATACAAAAGAAAAAAGTATGACGCAGTCTACACATGTAACTATCGACCTTGAGTTTCTTTCGGGTGATTAGATCTACCAGATTTTAAAGTATAATCTATTAAACACGTTATATATATATATAAATATAATTATAATATTTCAGAAAAAAAAAACCACGCAAAGTCCTTAATTAGTTACGTAATCTGTTTCATAATTAGTTCCACTCTCGGTTACGACTTGGAAATCGTTTTGCAATTCCGATTCGTCGTGAGGTCATATAATACTCGCACAGTATTTGTTAATTGTAATTATGGAATTTTATTAATAAAATACTTAGTAATTAGAGAAATAAGTAAGTAAGAAGTGTTCAGGTATATAAAATGTGTTGGTATACGGAATCCCACGTGATTCTGCGGTGCCAATGAGGTTGTAGTGTGGCCCGTATCGACCTTGGAGAGACCGGTCCCCTCTTGGTGGCACCTCCAACGGCGGATACGGATTGGATCACGTGACTGGCCAGATGGCACTAACCCGCCAAGGACGTACATAAACTGTACCGCTGCTCCGATGAAGCGTGGCTTCCATAACGCGTTCGTAAATCGAACACAGAATACTTACTCTTCTTACTCCGGTGACGTAACGTAATTATATAAAATAAATAAAAGAATTGCTGAGAGGTAAATTATGTATTAGAACCTAATAAAATTTATTAAAATCGAATTTATTTCGCGTTTAAATTATGTATAAAAATTATATTTTTAAAAACTAATATTCAAATTTTTTGATAAAAGCGCCACACCGATTTTAATTAAGTTTTCACTTTATTTTTTTATTTTTTTAATTTAAAATTCTTCGACCGAATGGGAGTGGTAAAATTCCTTTAGGAGATTAAAAGAAATTACTTAAATTAATTTATTCAAACTTAAAATGTTTCTAATTTACTTTAAATAAGTTATGATAATTAGAAACACGTTAAGAAAAAAAAAATTTTTTTTTTTTTTGAGGTAAAAAAAAATCCACACTAGAGGGCACTAGCAGATTGAAAGATGAGATCGCCCTCTTCGGCAGTAAATTGAACAATTTTTGTTGCTTCCTCGTAATTATCAAAGATTAATTAAAAGATTTTTTTTTTTTAAATGTTCGTTGTGTATCGAACGGATTTTAAAGTATTTTTACTGTTTACTCAAAGGCCTGTGTATAAAACTCTTGCCAAGTTAAACACAAGAGGGGAGGAAGCTGAAAGACTTCTATAAATCGATCGGCATGACCCTGGTGTCATTTAAAATGAAGATGATGTCTAATAATTGATAGACGTCGTATCTACATGAGCCTTGGCCTAATTGGAACAGATAAATGGACTCTCGGCTTATTTTCCTTTCTTCTAAACCTGTTTCTTTCCTACTTTATCCTCTCGTTCTTTTGTCGAATGAGTTTATCTTTCCTTGTCGATACTATTACAAATACTTCTAGAATATCGAAAGCTACACTTGAATTTTATCTACAATAAGTGGATATGATGAGAGAGAGAAAAGAGCTTTTTAAGTAAAAACAGTGCTTGAAAAATGTTTTTCCGATCCCCTTAACCATTTTCCAGATCAAAATCTTGAAAGGCGTCGGTAGGGAAGTCCAAAGAAAAAAGGGGCGGGTATGCTATTTTCGGAGGGAATTCGCAGCCCCGTGGGGTCGGAGGTCAAACGGACCATGAAGGTCGAGGCAACGCCCACTGCTAGTGGCACCGAAAACCTGTTTACAGAAAATTCGTACACATTCTTTTCAATTCCTGGCGGATCCGCAACAGGATAAACAATCATTTCCCACTTCGTGTTATTCTTGAACATTCAAAATTTCTAGAATATTTATTGACGTAATAATACATTTAAGATCGTTGACGTCACAATTAAAAAAATAATAATAATAATAATGTAAAATATGTTGCGCCGTTTCGAAAGTTATAAAAAAAAAAAAAAAAATCTTAACGTTAGCAGCGCCAATTCTTCATCTACCAGCGTATTAAAGAAGTAGAAAATCAGGCTGGAATTTAATTAATTATACTAAAAGTTATATGTGAAAGTCTATTTTCATATTTTTAAAATGATACGTGCTCCTGTCTACGTTGTGTCCACCACCACCCCCTCGGGTTTGCATTCACGATTCGATGTTTTCTGAGTAATACTAAATTAACTCGGTGGTGATATGAAAAGGGGAGTTGTAAATCTACCTCTCTCTCGGCAACAGATGGCCCGTCCTGCTCTGGGACGATTGATGAAAATAGTAGAGTGGCAGGATAGAAGGGAGGTCCGGTTACTTCAATCCAGAATGTTATAGTCGGCGTTTCTCTCTGTGGGTCCGGTTACTGCTGCTAGTCGTGGAGAAATCGTAAATCTAGTGGCTGATGTGACGTCAGAATGTCCTAGACAAATGGATTAGGTGAGGATCACGGTACGCAGGGTACAACTTATCTGATTTAAAATGAAAGGAGGAACGTAATCCTCGGGGTACACTGATTAAAGAGATGCTCAACTTCACTATTTCACTCCAAGCCCCTGTTCTAAAACTGGGGTTGGCTTTCTTACGTTATAAACTGCATTAAACTAATTAAATTCCGGTCTCGCCCCTAATTTAAATTATTAATTTAATTTAGTTTTTTTTTTTTTCTTTAATCCCTAATTATAAAAACCATTCTTTAATTTTAAAGCATGTTTATTTATGTATATACTTTATTTTTATATATGTATATTATTAATTTATTACAAGCTTCAAAATTAAGCCTGTAAAATTAATGTTAATATAACTATTTTCTATGAGAAAATTGCTGATTAAATCGGTCACCTGCCCTTCTCGCTGCAGTTTATTAATGAGTGAATTTACTTGTAAAGGCAGCTTTTACTCGAGATAAATTTTCTAGGTCAGGCGAGAGCAGGTGAGACACTGCTTCAGTTCCTAACCTAAGGGAGGAGGAGGGGGGAAGAATGAATGACTCCGGACCTAAACTACATAGAAAATTAAAGAAAATAAACCACAAAAAAAAAAAAAATAAAATGCTACGCTTGAGATGTTTCGCATCCGCACTGGAGGCGGCCAAAGACGTGTATGACCTACTTTTAGACATTGCGCTTGCCTCAGTAATTGGCCCCTCAAAGGGGCGCCTCACCTCAAGGCAATATTGTTAGGCGGTGAAGATTAATTATTACAGTCCATTTGAAACTTTCTAAAAAAATTGTATTTAATTATATAAACACGTTCAATTTTTTAAAGGCGTTTATATTATAATATTTCGTACAATTAAATTTATTAATTAAATTAAATAATCGGCTTAACGATTAATTTTCTTAACTTTTTCCTTTGTTAAATTTGATTATTATGAAGAGTTTTTTTTTAAAGTTCTTGTTTCTGTATTTGTTTTTATTTTTTTATATTAATAATAATCTCAACATTAAACATAAATTGAAGGATTTATTTTAAAGTCTATTATGGTGTAACTTTGTGTAAAATACGTTCTCTAATCTTTTAATTTTAATTAAAAGATTTTAATAATTAATCGTTTCAATGTTATAAATCTATTAGATTTATCATTAATTATTCTTACAGAAATTGCAGAAAGCTACTTAAAGTCATCCTTTAGTATTACGAGGCAATTCCCACATCCTCCATCCCTAGCACAAGTAAGTATTCAAGATAACGTCTAGCATCGTAATAATTTCATGAATATTTAATAATTTTCAACGATTCCTTCAGAGAAACCTTAAAAAGTTAGCTTTAGATGGGTCTATTTCATGCAAAAAAATTAAATATTTTATAGAGGGAGGAAATAATTGCTATCAAATTAGAAAAATCGACACTATATTGTCACTTCACGTGACTTTTTGGTGACAGGTTCCGTGACTACTGTTTTAACACGCTTCAAATTGATGCTAAATACTCGCATCTTTATCCCAGGATTTCATCCTCATCCTCATCTTCATCTGATGCTGACGTATTATAACATTTTTAAAAGACGTTGTCGTGATTTTTAATGACGTTTAAAACCTGTTACAGTAATATTGTTAAAGGAGTAGTTAGTTTTTCTTTTAATTACATTTATTTAATATACTTTTTCATATTGTAAATTGATTGGATTCATGCAGGGTATCTCGTTACTACAGTAACATAATGGGACTGTGTTATCCAACAACCGTTCACTGTTTCACGGATACGATATCAAATTCCATTTGAAATTCCCATTAATTTTCTTCACAAATTTTTATTAATTCATCTGAACATCCCGAAAACAGTTAGGACCAAATTAAAAAAGAAAGAAAAAAAAAGGGCACCACCCGCTGTCAGAAAAGGAAGGTGCGCACTGGCTCAAAAGTTAATCATAGTGGCAAAAGTTTCGACTCACTTCACTCGTACAGATTGACAGGCTGCTGGCCCGCTTTACGGTAAGTACTGTAAATGGTCACCATGGTGACGGCACGGAACTGAGTCACGTGGCCTCCCGGAGGGTAACGTGACTCAGACAGTACAAACAAGGGAGTACAATTTTTTGCTACTCTCGAAACACGTGTCGTTGTTAATCTCTGGCCACCAGACGTCGATCTGATTGGCACGTTTCGGTACCTATTTGGTCATCTTGTTCAATATGCCCCAAGGCTCTATATCCCTGGGGGGGTTTACGATCGATATGCGTGTATTTATTTTTAAAGTGCAGTAACGCTTGGACGAATCAAAACAATCTTTTTATTATATCGATTTATAATTTGTATACATAGGCCCCCGTCCCCGGAAGGGCCTATGTATTTCACGCTATTCTATGTCATTCGATCATTTACAAAACCTCAATACAGTAGTAGAAAGATGTGGTAAGTGGGAAGCATCCTCCTATACACTCACACACACGCTATAAATACGTGTTTCCACTTACTAAAGCTAGGCCAAGTAATCTCTGGTTTGATCCTGGTTGGCCTATATCTATGTTTTTGATCATTATGAAGGGGCCAATCAATCAAATCTGTCGAAATTCCCACAGTTTGTGCAAAAATTCCATAATCGGAACTAAATAAAACGGATGTTTAGAGGTTCATCAATATATTCTGATCATTCGAAATAAAATCCTAATTTCTTAATCAAATTTATGGAAAATTTCAGCATTTTAAACGTGCAATCGAAGGTATTTAAAGTGAGAATTATCATTCTAAGCATACCAAAATCATTAGAGAAACACGTGACTGGAAAGAAAACATCGCAAGTAGAAAAAGTCCTTTGATCGAAATAAAAACCTCTTAATGGGAAGAAAATCCTGTACGGTCAGAGGATAATCCCTCTGGTATTCGAGGTTTGGAAGAGAAAAACTTACAATCGGAAGACATTGAAAAAATACAAACTTATAGAAACTCCCACTCAAGAAACTCTAACGATCGGGTGCATAAATACGGCATAATAATAATAATAATAATAATAATACATAAAATTTGGGATTTTCCTACAGATTTAACATTCCCTTATCAACGAAATCGGGCTAAGAACGTAGTGGAAAGCGTGAATCACACCTGGCAACAATCACGAAATTAACCGCTAAATTCTTAGAGGTCAGCAACGTAACGCGTTGGTGGTTAATAACACGCGCGCGGTGATCTGACCCAAGACGTCCTTTAACCCATCTATTGTCTCCCGAAAAGTCGTTTAATCTCTTAATTCCGGTTACCGACACAAAACGAAAAACGAATTATAATAAGCGCGTGACGTCATACAAACAGGCCACGATATTGGCCAGTGGCCTCGGTTCTTACAAGCAAACTACAGATGCTTTGGCCTAAGTTATTTATATCCTCCTCGTTATATATATACATAAAGTAACAGTCGTTAACCGTTTGCTTCCCTCAATATAGCATTATTTAGCAACGTTCCCAGCGGTTGCGACAATTACGTTCAATACAATTTTAGAACACGAAATCGAAAAAATAAATAAATAAATAAAAGACAGAATTAAACCGTGACGTCAGCCCATTTCATCATTCGGTTCACGACCCGCGAAGTATAACAGACGAACTGGCGCGATGGCGTCGTGGGGCGAGGGAAACGCCCTCCTCGCCTCTCCTTCCTACCTTCAAGGTCAGGGGATCGTAAACACGCTCGAGCGTCACCTAGGTAACCGAGCCTCGATTTCCTGGCAAGCTGCCAGCGGTGTGGTCACGTGGATCACTCGTGCGATGTCGCTTTCTGGGAAATTAGGATGAGGTCAACGGCTCTTCTCTCCAAGAAAATAAACCCGAGTGGAAGGTTTTTTTTTTTTCGGTTGCTTATTAAAGAACACCCCGGGATGACGGCCGGAGGATGTTCGGAAGTGGAGCAAGGTTGGGGATGTCCCAGATTTGTTCCAGATGCTTTTCTTCGTTACTGGGGTGTCGGCGTGTTAACTCGAACGTGTTTGTTTTCTAAACAAAAGTTTTTACCCTCCCTCTCCCCCCTGTAGGATAGATACATTAGGTCATTTGCCTGTTAATTCCATTTAAAAATCTCACCGGGTAAGCCATGTAATTTTCGTTCCTCCCCCCTTCCCGTATATTTCTAAATTTATGTGGCATCTGTAATTGTAACGAAGCTGTTGCCCCCGGATTTAAAGTTCACGCTATCGATACGTGTGACGTGTAAACCCTCGAATAGCACCGAAAGTGTCGTCGATGTCGATGCCTCCACGTGTGTTAATGTACAATAGAAAACACGGGCTAGTATCAGCGCGTGGGAGTTTGTGTGCAAGATTAAAAGCTAATTTTCCTATCGTTAAATGTTGTTCTAGTCCTTAATAAACTTCATTTGTTAATTGCATTGTTTAATTTAGTTCTATATATATATATATTACTGGATGCTTTGAAACTAATAACCACTTCCTTCCTTTTTTTTTTGTTTTCTAAGGATCTTCCAGAAAAAATAGAGGAAGAGAAGAAGAAAAAAGAAGGATCTGGAAGGGCTCCAAATCGAAAGTTTTGCTGATTGGATTTAGGTAGAAGAATTTTGGATCTTTTGGCGTCTGGATTTGATTTCAATTGATTATTTGTTCTTTATTTCATACGCTTTTTTATCAATATATATCTTGAACAGTTTTATGAACTGCAATTACTAAAAGAAAATGAGAAATGAATTTAATTCTACCGGAATTTTATGCTAATTTTGCAAATTTTTACTCCAAAAACTCTTCATTCTCTCCTTATTTGCTAACCTTTTCTGCCCTGTTTACAATACTCCTTTTCTCCATAATTTTTGCACTTTATACAGCATTTTTTGTTTTTTTAATTCCTTAACTCTTACAAGTTATTTGCAATTCATTTTTATAAATATTTTCATTAGCAATCTTATTATACACCTATCTTATTTGACTTCTACAACACCTTATACCAAATTTTCAAGTTTTTACTCCTATTTACCATGAATTTTTCGATCCTTCTATCTTTATATAGCTTATATTACATCTTCGCACTTCTTGAACACTTCCAACTTGGTGTTTACTTGGTGCATTTTTATATATATTCTGAACACTTATTTTTCATCTTTTATAATTTTCCTTCCATGGCATCTTGTGCCAATTTTTACTCCTATTTACATTGTTTTTTTTTATCGCTCCTTCCCCTTCTTCACCCTTATTTACAATACTACTTCTTTCTATTATTCTTTCACCTTATTTACAGTATATATTTTTTTAAAGTTTTATTTACAAATTTCCACTTCTTAAACTGTTTTCTTAGTTCACTCACTCACACTTCTGCTCTTTTGTATGGGTGACAATGGATCCTTTTCATCATGGCGAATTTTTTCGTCGCTTCCTTACGTCACAGAGGACTTTTCTTTCGATAGAAGCACGCAATACAAACACTTATCATTCGAAAAAAGTAAGATTTTTATAAATATTCCCCACTTTTAAACGACAATAAAAATAAATAATAAAAAAAAAGGCGCATTATCACACTTCAGGGAAAAATGTACCTTAGGGTATAAATCTATTCTAATATTTTTCTCACCCCCTATTTTTAGTTTGCTATATATGTGTTTTTCTTTTATTATTATTTTCTTGAGCCAACATATTTTGACAGTTTATCATTCTCTTGGACCTCCTTCCCTCTCAGAAGAGAGAAGGAAAAAGAAAAATAAAAAAAACATTGATGGATGTATCTTGCTTACATTAAAGGAACAGTATTTGTGTGTGTGTGTGAACATTTGATGTTTTAAAATGATCTTTCCCCTATTCAAAATTCATTCTGGTTAGGTTATTCTCTTCGGAGTAGAAATAAATATCCAAGCAAACTTGGTATATTTTGGGGTATTTGGGGATAAAATATTCGCTATTTTATCACCAAGTACACTAAGAATAAAGTGAGGTACCAACTAAATTCGAATAGAACTATTTTTATATTTATTTTATCGAAATATCAATCGTGTTTTTGGTCTGTTTAAACTCTTTTCTACTGCCAAAACTTGTTCTTTTATTAAATTTCTACGAAGTAATTCACTTACGTATTGAGTCAAATTATAAAGAAACAAACAAAAAAAAATCCCATATTAAAGATTGATTTCTATCTTTGTATGTGTGTCTGTTCGTAAGTGAGGAGTAAATCTTGTGTCTATTTCCATTTTTAACTGGAAATTTTTAGTTATATATAACGATAAAACCGTATTTTCTTACATAAATAAACTTAAAAATCATTGCTTGTTAACTTTATCTGTGAATTATAAACATTAACTTAATATATAATTAACTTTTTGGGTAATAAATGCCAGTAATAATTACTTTAAATCTATATTACTTGGTTACTTTAACAAATGTTAATTGAAAATTTTTTTAAAATAAAGTACCCTACACTATTTATTTATTATTAGCTTCTGTCTTTAAACAGGAATAAATGGTTGTATATTCATTTACGTTTTATTCTTAAACAAATAAATAATTATAAGTTTTAATCTAATTAAAATATAGGCGGTTCTCAGCGATATATTTACTATACAATCGAAATTACAATTTTAACTAATCAACGATGTAGAAATCGACATAATCACGCCCACTTTGTATTGATTTACAGTTTTTTAAACTAATCAACGTTAAGATAATCATATTTTAACCAATCATCATTGGAACATATTTTAAATATTTATAAAACGTATATATATTACAGGAAACCGCCTATATTTAATTATTTTACTAGTATTTATAATTTTATATTATATTTTATTTTATTTTAAATAGAATTATTATAATTATAGGGACAAGAAAAGGATAAAAAAACACTTGAAAAGTTGGGATGAGGCTGTATATAATACCATAACGTCTAGTAGCATCATCATCATCATCATCGTCATCTGAACACTACACGTATTAAGAGCATCATCTTAACTCATCATCATCATCATAATTACAGATGAATTTCATTTATTTCACTTTAAAATCTCATTTTTAAAATTGTTCTTTTTCCATTTATAAAAATGTTAAAATCGATTAAAGAAAAATAAATTAAACAAAGCGGCAGACAAAATATACAAGAAAAAATGTGAATATTTAATAATAAATATGCAGAAAAATCTGATAAAGATCCGTCATCATCCTCCTATTGATCATTAAAACGGGACATCTCGAAGATAACCCGCTGATAATTTTCCATCTACTTCGCTTCTACGTCAACAAAATGTATATAAAATGGCCTTTATGAACGTGATTAAATGTAATTCATTCTTTTAATTGCTTGATATACAACTTGATTTATATTTAAAAGCTAAATATAACTTTGTAATTTCCCTTCCTTTTTTTTTATTTATTTCACATTAATTTATAAATAGGTTTTTATCATAACAGTAATTTAATACACTCTTTCATTCGACTCCTTCTAAGAATATAACAAAGTTTATGTTTAAAAATATATATATATATATTCGAATTTCATAAATAAAATGTATAAAATTTGAAAAATAATTTTCGTCTTATAAAATTCTGTATAATTTTTGTGTATTTTTGATCACACGATTGATGCTTTCTCTGTTTTCATCTTCAGCATCATTGGATGCTTGAATGGGATGAAAAAATTCGCATTTTCTCTTCACTTTTTCGACGAAAAAAATGATTTTTTAAGCATAAAATTATGCTTAAAATTCAGTATTATGAGTAAGATTTATATATATAAACTATAATTTAGGGCCTCACTCTTTTAAATTGATTTGTTGGAGAGGTAAGGCCTTTTATCACAGCCGGATTTAGACGTCTCCTTTGCCAATAGATGAAACTACCTTTGAGGCCCTAAGGTGTAGCTTATACGTAAATTCCCTTCTTCCTTTTATATGTTAAAGCTAAAAGGCCTCAACAACATAGATGAGTCAATTGTTGTTGAAGTTTGAACGGATGTTGATGAGTTAGTATCAATCATTAACGTGTAATTTAATACAATTTCTTAAGACGTTATCCCACGTTCGTATAAGATGATGTTGCTGTTACTTTTAATATATTTCGATAAAGAATTTGATGTGTAATGTTTAGAACGAATTAGTGATGCAGCACATTAAGTGTTTAGTGTACGGGGATTACAACTGGATACGAAAGCGAATGTCTTTTTGAAACTGTAACGACTTACGTCACGACTATTTTTGAAACAGGATACGACATTGGACGAGGAAACACTTTGTTTCGGGTCCTGAATCCAAACATTTAATATCCACGAGAGCAAAAAAGAGACTTTTTTTTTATATATATATTTTACCAGGCGAGGGGGGTTTGTAGTTTAGTAGAATTATAGGATACAGTCCATAATTCCTAGCAGTGGACACGCACAGTCAACAGTGAATAGAATCGTTTCCTGTTTAAAAGACCCTTCGGGTGTACAATTTGGTGGCGTCTACTTCCTCTCGCGTTACTAAATATCGAACAATGTTATATGCCTGGGGCATCCTAGATAGGAAAAAAAGGGGAAAATTGCTCTTGTATCTAACTCATACTAATCATTGGCGGACGAATATACGTTTATCCTAAAAGGGAATTCCCCCCATAAATAATACAGACCTCATACTACACCGATCTAGATTCGAATTTAACTCCGAAGGAGTCATCTATCACACGAATTGCTCCATCACTCACCGGTCTAGAGACTATCCGGATTGATAAAACGAGGAGCAAAGCCTCTTTCCCACTAGACATCCCCCTGTTTTCCTCCGTCCTCCAATCCTCCTTCTTGTTTATACGGGGATAGGTTTAGTAGGCATCTCTATTTAATATTAAATAATTTATCACGGACGTGTCAAACATCCTTAACTACCGACGCAGTAGGTCTATTTTGGTTTAAAAAAAAAAAAAAAAAAAAAAGATTACACCCGACAATAGCGAGTTTCCGTTACACGTATATTCGAGAGAAAAACCACTAAAAATAGCGCTTTCCCTCCCCCCTCGTTTCTTTAAATGCAAATTCGGACATTTAATTGAGGACCTCATGCGTGAGCGCGTGGACTAAAAAAAAAAAAAAAAAAAG